AATAGGTACATCCTGCAACTGTAGGGAGGAGTTTCGTCTACAAGTATGGAGTTCGGCGTCATTTTTCTGCAGCTTGGCAATATTGTCTAAGCTAATATCTATCGAAGATAGGTGATTAACGTCACATCGAGACAAAGAATCGGCTACGATATTGGAATCTCCTTTGATGAACTGGATGTCTGTTGAGAATTGTGAGATGTAATCCAGTTGTCTGGCTTCTCTCGGAGAGTGTCTGTCCAACGAAGTGGTGAAAGCATAACAAAGAGGCTTATGGTCGGTTAAGATAGTAAAATGTCGACCTTGTAGTAAGAAGCTGAAATGTTTCACTGCTAGGTAGATGGCTAACAGTTCTCTGCCCAAAGTGCTGTAACGAGTTTGCGCAGGTTCCAATTTCTTGGAGAAGAAAGCAAGTGGAGTGGTGTCATTATTGAACTTTTGTTGTAAAACTGCTCCCACTGCTACCTGCGATGCATCTGTACATAGAATGAGTGAAGCTTCTGGGTTGATGTGAGATAACATTACAACGTTGGATAAGGCATCTTTTGCATTATTAAATGCTGCTTTTGCTTCTTCAGACCACTGAAATTTCTTCGAATTGCATCTAAGTAGGTCGGTCAGTGGCTGAACTATGGAGGCACATGATGGAATAAAACGTCGGTAGAAGTTGAACATCCCGAGAAAACGTCTAAGTTTCTTTAAGGAATCAGGTTCGGGAAAGTTCTTAATAGTTTCTATCTTATCTTCGGTAGGTCTGATGCCTTCGGCAGTTATTCGATGTCCTAAGAATTCAATGGAAGGGGAACCAAAAATACATTTCTTTGGATTGATAACAACTCCAAATTGTTCAAACCTTTGAAATAACAGGCTTAAGTGTTCCATATGTTCTTCCATCGATGAGCTGGCAATTAAGACATCGTCGATATATACAAAGACGAAATCAAGACCTTGGGTAACTTGGTCCATAAAACGCTGAAATGTTTGAGCAGCATTCTTTAGTCCGAAAGGCATTCTCAAGAATTCGAATAATCCAAAAGGCGTGATAATTGCTGTTTTTGCAATGTCTTCTGGAGCGACTGGTATTTGATGATATGCCCTGACCAAGTCAACTTTAGTAAAAATGGTCTTTCCATGTAAGGTCAAGGAGAAGTCGTGGAGATGAGGTATAGGATAACGGTCTGGGACCGTAGCGTTATTCAAAGCGCGATAATCTCCACATGGTCGCCAGTCGTGATTAGTTTTAGGTACCATATGCAAAGGTGAAGACCATGGACTGTTAGATGGTCGTATGATACCTAGCTGCATCATATGTTCGAATTCTGACTTAGTTTATCGGGTGGTAACCGTCGTGGACGTGCCTTCACAGGTTGTCCTGTTGTGATGATCTTATGCGTAACTGTATGAGATATATCTTCGACGTTGTATGACGGTTTAAGGATTTTAGGAAATCGTTGTAATAAAGTAGAGAACATTTCACTCTCCGGCTTTTCTATGCAAATGCTATGAACAGAGAATCACATGTAATACCGTGGATCTTGAGTTGGGTGCAATTGTCAATCAGTTTTTTCTTGCTGATATCAACTAACAGATTGAAGTGACTTAGGAAGTCTGCACCTAGTATAGCGTGACGTACGTCAGCTACTATGAAGATCCATGTGAAACGTCGGCGTAGTCCTAAGTTTAAAATCATTGACTGTTCGCCATACGTCTGTATGTTGGTTTGGTTGGCAGCACGGAGTGAAAGTTTTCCAGGTATTTTGGCTGATCGCCTGGATAGTGAGGGGGGAATAACACTGACCTCGGCGCCTGTATCTACCAGGAATAATGTGCCGGTAGTCAAATCCCTCACATAGAAAAGGCGACTGGGGTGATTGCCAGTAACAGCCGTCGCCATTACTGTCTGGCTGGGGAGTTTCCCTGAGTTGAGTTACCACTGTTGTACATGCACGGTCGAACACACTTCAGGGCATTATGCCCATACCTCCTATGATACCAACAAATGTTACGGCTTTGAGGTGTTCTAGAACGTCGTCTAGATCTTGATCGCCGTTGCTTGGATACCGTATGTGACTGGTTCCTTTGTGCTCGAAGCTCAGACACTTCCAGTCGTAAGTCTTGCATTTGAGATGTTAACTGGGAAAGTAACCAAAACATTGGTGCGTCCTTCATAGATGTGGAAGGGCTTGGTGGTACTACCTCTGTAGACACGCTATTTATGCCATTATTTGATAACACATCCATGATATCGTCTGCCATCTTAGCTAATTCTTCAAGGTCTGTCGTCCTAGAAGATATTGTTAGGATTTGTTGAACGTTTTGTGGTAAACGTTGTAAGAACATCTGACGTAGAATTAACTCATCTACTTTGTGTGACCCAATCAACTGACGCATATGTCTAAGTAGTTGGGATGGCTTTTTGTACCTAGATCACACGAAGTAAGTAGTTGTTGTATGCGTTTCTCATCGGAGAGAGTGGTCCGCTGGATGAGTGCAGCTTTTAGTTTGTCATATTGAGAGTCTGTAGGTTTGCTGTCTATGACATCGATAACCTCTCGGAATACTTCCGTGGGTATTGCTGCTAATACGCAAACGTACATGGCAATCTGCGACGTAATACCTCGAGCTGCAAACAGCTGTTCAATGATTGTGAACCAGACACGTGGTTCAGCCAGATCAAATTGAGGTAGTCTTAAATCCGGCAAGACGTTAACAGAAGAATTCTGTGTCTCTTCGCCTTTATTGCCTTCTTCAGCAACAGTGGTACGCTTAGATGGAGCCATTGTCATATAATACAAGAGTATAGAGATATACAAAATAGCAAAAGTTGTGGTAACAAAAATTAAAGCAATGCGATTTTATAAGGCCAAAATAGCAACAAAAATGTCCAAAACGAGTTAACTATCGAAACAAAAAGGTTCGAAACGGGCTCACCAATTATTGTGGTGGACCTTTTACTCTGTTAGCTTAGTTACCCAAATTCAAATAGAAAATAAAATACCAAATCGGTTTAGTTACGGGAAGAATATATTTAAGTTTCGTTACTTGGGTTTACAAAGATCCAAAGTCCACAGTAAACGTAATAGACCCCAGGTGCTGCGGGAAGACTACTCCAGTACCAATTCTCCAATGTTGACGTTGCCGGAGGTCGACCAAAGTACGTGGGAAGAAACTACGGTGCTCCTGCAAAAATTTGAGATAGAAAGCAGGTGATTAAAATTGATCGACGGCAGTTGAGATGGTGGAGAAGACGGAGAGTCGAAGGCAGAACTACATATTTATTCAAAACCCGAGGTAAAGTTCAAAGTACAGAGTTTATGGTCAAAACAAAGTAATGTACAATATGTTCATTTCTTACATAGTAGTAAAAATTGGATAAGCTTACTTTTGAGGACTCCACACCTTCAGCAGTCCTACCACTGAAGTGGTAATTCTCAAAAGTTACTTATTTTAATAGGGAACACGAAGTCAGATATACCTTTAAGTAAGAGTGCAGGTAAATTATTCCGGCCACTTAATGAGCATGAGAAGATAACTATGACAATGGCCATGAATGCAACTGAGGTTTCCTCTTGAGAGCTTGCTGCTGCTCTGATTTATCTACTTTAAACTTTTAGCGTTTAGGTTAAAAGTTAAGGTAGCTTTAGGAGTTAGGCGTAGGGTCAATTTTAGGGTTAATTTATGGTCAGCATTTATATAATTGGTATAAGTCAGGACAAGGGCTTAGGGTTAAGTGTTAGTCTGACCATTTGAATGCACGATATTTTTTTTATTTTACTTTTTTGGTTACAGCTTGATTCCATACTCTATTTTTGGTACAAGTATGGAATTTTCAGCATGGATATCGGTAGCCCAAATTTCGCAGGCCAACCATTGATATCATGTGTGCGTCGACAAGGGATTATAGGCTTCCAAGAGGTAACCCGCTAAGGATAGCACACCAGAGACCAAAGACTCGAGTGCGATCACATTTCTTTTCGCTTCGTGTTTGCCGTCTCTGGAACGCTTTACCGGCGGCCGTGACTACAGCGCCATCTCTGGAGATTTTTAAGCGGAAGCTAGACAATCATGCAGAAATGCAAGGTTTGTGTCTCAATGGCTTATCCTCATAAAATTTGAAACCACACTGTCAATGAATAAGCGTACAAACTAAATCCCCACGACCTATTCTGCCTTCTCTCACTCTATCTTTTCCTTAGGTCACCTTTATTATTCCACTTATCTCAACCTATATTATCTACACTACAACCTATTATTATTATTATTACTATTCTGCTTTTATGACTACACCGAATGATCAACGGGAGTTAGGTCAAACTCCATTCACGGCAGCAATACAGTCCTAACATACTGCATACTACAAACCACATCTCGACCAATCCCCGCACCACTCCTCCTGGAGTCTACCAGAGCTAAAGCAGTCGAGTGTCGGGACTTACTACGCAGAAGCTCACCGAAGATCTGGAACCTTTACCTCACAATCAAGAAGCGAGCTCAAAGAAATCACTGGTTTATACTAGCTCGTAATCAGGATATTGGATATTGGAAGGGATCGAATGCACGATTTACCAACGAATCCAGGATTTTAAAGCCCTTTATTGAGATTAATTACTGAAAATGGCCTACTTTTCTTTGGCAAGAAAAGAGTTATGTTATACTCCAAACCTTCCATGGTTCATGTAAAGTCTAAACCTATGGTCTAAAATGGTGAATGCTGCACTGTTACAGTGGCGGTCTCATTCTATCGTAACGTTACATATCGAAAAATGCATTGCGAACGCTCCCAAACTGCTAGTCATATTGTGGACCAGATCAAAAGTCAAGGCTTGTTCGATAAAATTCGGAAACAATGTCTGGAAGATATAGATACGAATGTCGAATATCAAATACTCCAGCAAAAAGTGAATTCATTTGTCTCATCATTTCTCCAAAATCAAACTTGGGATTCAACTCTAGAGAAGTTAAAGTTGAGGGAAGAATTACGGACTAAACTTACAAAAACTAAAATGTTTTCCTCTGGTATCGACAAGCTTGTAAGTGAAGCACTAAAGGCTAAAATGCCTAAGGGTTTCCGAAACCAGGTTCAAAACATTGTGTGTGATTACTTTGATGTATCTCCAGAGTCTCTAATGTCCATCATTAACTGTGATGAAATAAAGCCCTCTGTTTTCCCCGAGTCTTCAGTTCCATGTGTCCTGCCAGATATAAACTATGCCAATCCTGTAGTTAATACCGCTATGGCTATCCCAGCTGTTCGCCCACCATTCCCATATACATACCCTCCTGTTCCAGTCCAACATCCAGTCATCCAACCAAATGTCCCTTGTCCAATAAATACATATGTCAGCCCAAGTGGAAATTACATGGTTCCTCCTCCTCCCCCACCACCACCTCCTCCTCCTCCCCCTGGAGTATTTTGCCAACCGCCTGTTCGTTTTAGCAACCAGCCTGGATTAAGTGTACCGACTGACCATGCCATCGAAAACTACGAGACTCTAACAACAGTCCATTGCGACTCTGGTCAGGTGAGTTGCTTCAAAATTTAGGTAGCATGCAATTTTGAAAATGTAAATTGGGTTGATGCATTTCTCAAGGTTAATTTAAGGTATAGCAACCAGTTTGACGTATGACCAAGCAACCAAACACATGTCCTGGTAGTATTACCAAATCAAGCGATTCCTTCTGTTCTGTATTTGCCTAACAAGTTACAGAAAAATAAATTGATTACTGTTTGAATAATTGGTTATTCAGATTTACTAAAGCATACGTATACACTAGAAGCTTAACAGGATACTGGTCTTTTAATTAGGCAGATTCCTGGGTAGATTAAAAACCAGGCACATCTATAAAAATATATATGGAAACACCATGATCTAGTCTTCTTATTGTTCTGTTTAGTTGCTCAGGGTGTGTGGTAAGGCCGATAGGGTTGGCTGCAGTGGTTTAACTTTGTCCTCTTCTATTTTGTATATCGTCACAATATACGTGAAGTTTTCGAGGTTTACACCTTGGTAGATAAAAAATAGTATAACAAATCCTATAAAAATATATAGTAAATAGCTGACATCCCATGATATTGTTGGAATTCAGTTCTAAGGCTTCAGCAGAACTCCTTGACCTGTCCATTTGCATTACTAATTCTTTCAAACAATGTGTGTTCAGATGGAGAATAATACTATGACTGTCTGGATTTGTATCCTTGTTGATATTTGTGTAATACTGTCCTATTCAGATTCTAAGCCGTTGCACCTAAAACTCTTAGTTACTATTTTAAAATAGACTGCTCGTTTCTCTTTGTACATTTCACAGTAAATTGTACTTGTAAATCCCCGTTATAGGCGCAAACACACCCTTTGGAAGTTACGGTTGAGGAATCAGTACAGTGCGATGACCCGATGGATATAGGTAAGTTTCAGTATAAAATACATCGTTTCTTTTCAGTGTTGAGTTTAGGGGCTTGTCGCGTCACTTCTAATCTAGCCTTGTGTGTGACAGGTCTAGGATTCATCAGTTATTCATTTTTATCAATATGTCTAGTGGTGATACCAAAACATTTCATGTCTTCATTTTACGCGATATATTTGCTGAGTGTACCAGTAACATTATACTGAATTGTTAATTAATGAAGTTGACCTTTAAATCAATTTAGTACTCATAAATCGAAAATTGGAATGTTAACGAACTGTTAATAAGACAGATTGAATTCATGCAATTTTTCAAGAAATTGCACTCTGTATCTGCACGACGAGAAATAAAAGTGACTAATATATGGAATGATTAGAAGCCTGCGTAATGGCTATTAAGCTCTAATAGAAACATGAAACTGAGAAGGCAGTTTAAATAAGTGATACCAGGAAACCCTTTGGACTTAATGAACAGATCTACCTGACTGACTGAGTTTCGGCGTAGAACTTTGCAGCAGTTCAAGTTGACATTCAATGATCACACAAATGTAGAGTAAAAGCAGATTAAAGAACATGTGGGAGAAAGAATAAGTAAGTGAAGGGTAATGAAAATGTAATGGGTCTGTAAGTTCATATGGAGTAATTGGACCTAAGCGCTCGAAAACAACCTTGAGCCATGTAGCAACTCAAGCCATTGGTGGTTGGGGTCTCAGTGACCATGCACTTTATCCATTACTTTGAGACTCAAACCAACCATCAAAGACTAGGGATTTGTATCGTGTTTTGATCTGACCACTCGTAACTTTCATGTAGCCTAATCCTATACTAGCTAACGTTGTCTGACGAAGAGGGCAACGGCTTGGCATGTGTAGCACGTACGCTAGCTATATTAACTGATGAAAGTTCACAAAAAAGCGTCAATTGAATTTTTCTCTTTACTTGACACTTCAGTGTTATTCACCGTATTATACCACTAAGTAGAGAGAGAGAGATGTGGTTTTCATGTTTTTCACTTCAAGCGACCACGTCTCACAGTCATAAAAAATTGCTTCACAGCACACACGTCCTTTGGTGTCATGTCTACACAAAAGATGACAAATTGGCAACGGAAACACGAGTCTTTTGTATTCGTGCTGAAATTTGGCTAGCAATCAGTCCTCCAGGGTTAATGCAACTTCTCATGTAAGGGTAGCAGACAGTACGTTCATTTATTTCTCTCTGTATTTAAACTGGGAGTCGGCACATAGTAGTCTTGCAAGGTCATTTCACACTTGACAGGGACCAATCGCATGCCAGATATACTAAGATTTCTCCTGCAAGTGTTTAAAAGACTGCATTTAGTTAGCGTCTACATCAAGAAGGAATTTTTATACACTTAATCGACAAGACTGTCCCCCGATAACAAGTCAATTTTTATGTCACTGAAATTGATTACAGTCATATCCACTAGTACATGATGAAGTTGAACGAAAATGAAGACATTAAATTTTCCTGACGAAAACCAATAGTTACCACAACTTCAGATTGATAACAACATACGTCTTTACACGGCTGCGTGAATTCTAGTGGAGTGCCCTGATTAATGTGATATACTTTCTCAACACCACGGTATATATTGACGCCATATCTCAGTCAGTGGAGTTTAATGTTTTCCTCAGGTTGACAAATATGGTAGGTGTTGGATGCCTTTGTTTCAGAATCTGTTGAAGGGTGAAAATATGACCTAAAATGTGTCTCGTTTTCATACGTTTATTTCCCCTGAGCACCGCTTAGTCCCTGAAGAATTAGTAAACCTAGTCCCGACCCATAGCTGCTACCTCGATGTTGTACTCAGTCTCGTGTGTGACGACGATCCAACAAGTCACACTCACTGGAGCTTATGTTCCTGCGGGTTCGACCATGCCAGAAAGATCGTTTGGATAGCACTTAAGCTAAGAGTGGTTACCATGATAGTATAAGTAGTGTACATTGTGTTTGTAGACGAAGTTGTACTGTTAGGAAATAAGGTTTCAACAGCAGTAAGTTGTTCCCCTCAGATGACCAACAAGCTACCTATGCTGCCTCTGCTCTGAAGAGGAGTGGTTACAACAGGTTGACCCCGAAAATTGTACATCTTAATTCGCCTTGCGGCGTGAAATCTTAATATGGATGTAATTCCAGAAAACAATTCAAATAGGCCATGTATGACAGGCCCCAAGCAGTTGTCCCCTGGCCTCTGTCGAAACACAACACTAATACTCCTGTTTCAGATATCCCAAGAAAAAAGTCAACTTCCATGGCGTTGGCTGCCCATACACTTCCAAAAGCACATAATGCTTTCCTAATCTGATGGGACATCTTTCCAGAGATTTTACGTACTACCTGTAATTATTGCTTTATCAAGTAATAGGTTTTCAGTCTGTCATTGTTTATGGCTTTGAGATGATGATACGTCTTCATGGATAGAAAAACTGAAATTGGTAAAGCAGCAGAGCACGACATGCACAAGTAACACATTTTGCAATACGCGTTCCATCATTTGAAAATGCGAATTTTAGTAAAAATGGATGAGAAACAATCTCATTTTAGTGATCAGAGTGAATAATTTTAAAAACATTATTGTAACTTCTTTCTGAAGATATTTCACTCAGGTTTATCAGTAAATCATTGCACTGTTAACAGTATTAATCAAGTAATAACCACCTATGAGCTTCCAAAATCACACTTCCATGAACCTAGAATTCTAGATGCTGTGTTGGTCAAGCTGGTTTCTCTACGATTATTACAAGAAGAATTGTCTCCCTCTTCATAAACTAGGACAAAGAGTGATTTGCATCAGTCCTGTAGGACTATCTCCGATTCCTACACATTACTTAGTATCTCGGTTAACCCAGTCAATATTTCGTCACCACCATTCCTAAACACCGCTAGAGTCAGACCATCAGTTTTCACTGCCTTGCTTTAGATCCGAAACACCTCCCACAACCTCTACCACAATTTGGGGATTCATGCCTACATCCTATTGAGGTAGGTGTTGGACGCTGAGAAACCTTGATTGTAGGCCTCTTAAATTTCCCCTCGAAATGTTCAGTCTAACGTTGCTATCGTGTGTCTTGAGAAGAAATGAAAGTACCGTTCAAGCTTGAAAAGCTTTCTAGTTACCATTGGTTTCATAGCTCGTTTTCTTTAATGAGTCTAAACAGTTGTTTGGTATTGTCTGCTGTCTATGTGTTTGCCATCTCTTACGGCTTTTTTCTCACACCACTGTCCACAGTTATTCAGGCTTTTAGTAAGCTTGCATATGAGAAACTTTGGCTAGTCATCATGTTCCGAGCCCGCCTAAATCAGTCTCCTTTTACCTAAAAATGCCAACTTTGTAGACCATTACGGAGGAAAACAGGGTAGGTCGTTAGTAAATCGGAATACTGTAAACTTTGACTGACATACATGCACCGGTTCTAAATGTTGCTTTTGGTTTTAGTCATATTATTATTATTGTATCCTTTAGTTCCTAGAGGAACATAGGGCTTCAGCTGCGCACCTCCATTGCCTTCTGCTTTCTGACAACTTTTTCACCCCGCTCCAAGTCTGTCCACATGCCTTCATCTCCTCCTCGCATGACCCCCTCCAAGTCACCCTTGGACGACCAACTCGCCGCCTCCCTTTCGGGTTCCACTCGAAGGCTTGTCTAGTGATGTCACTTGATGGTTTCCTCAGCGTATGGCCAATCCATCTCCATTTTTTCCTGCCTATTTGTTTCACAATCGGTTTAGTTATATAAACTTGCTTTATTCTGTATAAGAACAAATGCTTGAGTTTTTGCCCACTGAATTGCAGTGCATTTTTATTGGTAGTAGGGCGCTATATTCCTTATGTGAGTATACTTTCTTCTATTATGAGTTAGATTTAGTTTTGCTTTTATGGTCCCGTAGTTACACGTTCCTCAGTAGACATAATTATTGAGCTAGAAATTTGGGTTATTTTCTGACTACCTACTGTAAAAGTAACCTAATGTTATATGAATGCGACATGACTCTCTACCTTTACTGAATCACACTTTGTTTAGGGAAAATGTGAAACTGAGTGCATTAGACGTCCACGCGTTTTCGTTGCTTTTATTTACCTTCACTTTCGCAGAACAGATAAGTCAAATACATATTTTGTCTCCGTATGAACAGTATTGAAGTGCATTTTCTTTGTGATTGAAGCATTAGAGACATTATTTTTCGGAATTGTCGACACACAGTTGCTCGTTACTCACAGAATGTAATCTTACATTCGGTGATTTCTTACAGTCGTTAATTATGGCATTATAAACGAGACTTTCTGATTTGAGATTTGTTTTTACTTTATATGTCAATACTGAAAAAATATTTTATTTCCAGTTTTCCTAAAACGTGTAACTGGCAGCAATCACAAAAACTTATACTTCGGTGCTTCTAAACTTTGAAAGTTAGAATTGCCCTGGGTTCTAAAAATGATAAAAGATCTATTTTCAGCGTGTCGATTTTCATTTCACCTTTTATTGATAAACACTGAACTTTTTTATCTGCAAGTTCCCTTAGTTAAGGCTTTTAAAAATCTAGATTTTGCACGTGTACATTTTGTTTTACAGAATCTTTACACTCTGATAGCCCAGTTGATCAAAACACGACAATCCTACCACATCAGGACTCGGAACAATCAGGAGAAAATAAGGTCACAAACGTTGATGAAAAAACAGTAGAAACTTCAAATTGTGCAAATGACAAAACAGCTTGGCATAATGTCCGTTTTATGCTGGACGATGTCTCCGAGGATGAGGAAAAAGATTTGAACTATAAGTCACCATTGTCATTTGAAAATAAAGCACGACGTTTCAACCATTCTCCGACCTATAAGTCTTCACATGCAGTTCATCACTCGTATGACAGGAACTCACCTCTACGAAGCGCCTCTCCCTTTGACCATATCAGTCCGGAGGATGTTGTACCCTCCTATTCACCAGCTAATTATGATGGACGTAAACATCGAAAATCAGTACGTCCCACGTTAGAATATAATCCAGAAAATCCTGCGTCTAAGCACGACACTGCAAGGAAACCATCCTACGAACATCTTTCAGATTTCCGTGATTTTAGTCCATCCAATTCATCTAAAAAGCACAGAAATTATCCGCAGACTAAATATTCTGGATTGTCTGCTTCACCTGTATCATCCGGTAATCATTTCTGTGAGCCGACTCATACTAATCAGGAGGGCCACCATCCAATGACCGTTGGGACAAGTTCACGGAGAGAAAGGGCTTATTCCAAACCACATTCTGTCTTTCATAAAAGTGAGTATTTTGTATTAGTCGACTTTTCCACTCCCTGTGTTAGGATAAAAACAGTTTCATTGTATTTCAGGAAATTCATCCACATAGGTAGAAAGTTTTTAGTTATCCATTTCTTCCCTCAAAATCACTATTTTGACAATTTCGTAATCTAAAATAACAGCGGGTATATTTTTTAATGAGTGTCTTTCTCCGTATTGTCCACTTATTTGTATACAATTGTGTGTACATAAATGACTGACACTGAAACTTTTATTTTCTTATTCAGTCCTGATGTAGATTCAGAATGTCAAATAGTAATATCTTAATATACATAGTGAATGTGACACTAGCACTTTAGTAAATCATTTCACTTCATGAATATATAAGTAAGCAGTTTGGTACTGATGCCTATATTATAGTGAGTGTAAAAATGGGGGTGTGGATTGATAAATTTTGTTACATGCTGGGAATGCATCCAGACTGCATGTGAATGTTTCATTTCGATGCTTTCCATTTCACTTGATTTTACGTGTAAGTAGAATTAGTTTTAGCAGGATAATACAGACTACTGATGTATATGAGTGGGTGGAAATTATTCACGCCATTCGTTTGGTCGTGGTCGATGTCGTCAGCGGTGTACTCGGTCAGATTCAGTTCAAACAGTCGGGCCAGTCCAAACCATCTGAATTCTGGCTAGCTGTTTGAATGTATCATTTTTCTTCATCTCTTAATTGCCTTTCATTCTATCAAAAGGATCGCATATGGTGATATGAAAAACCGTTATAAGTTTTCATCCCGAGCTCTATAATTTGTAAAGGAGGAATTCTATTCTACAGTTGATTTAACTGTGTCCTGTTCCTGATGTTTGACGTACACCACACGTGGTATAACCTTTGATGCTTTCTTTCATTAAGTACATCATATGACGGTTGTATACATGGAGTTGTAAATTATGCCATTCTGAAGAACTCTCAACGCCTAAATAAGTGCAGGTATTCCTACTTTATTTATCATGGAAAATATTACCAGTGGAGATAAAAAGTATCTATAATTTTAAATTATTACTGAGTTCACTTCAAAGATTATAACCACTTACTGTTTCAAGTGGTCAACATTTTTACTGGAACAATGGTCCATTACATCCAGTCAATGAAAAATTAGTATAATGATGACTATAACACGCAATTAAATAAGCTGTAATTAATGAGATTCAGGGAGAAGATCCTTTATGGAAACTAATCGTAAGTGTAGTTGAATGAAGGAGTTGCGTATCGGGAATTCGCCTTCATTAACAAAAGTGTGGGTACGCGAATAGACAGTTGTGTGGTTCGAATAGTCCATACGCTTAATATCGTCTTATTGTTAGGAAATACTGCTTATCATATATTGTGTTAATTTCGTCTCATGCTACAAGATTTGTGTGGGTGGGCCAGGTACACCAACACTTTATAGATGCATGAATAGTATTAATATTTTTGCCTTATAGATCAGTTAAAACTCGATTCGTCGCTTTCCACGATGTCCCTAGCAATATGGCCTTTTTACTTATTAAAATTCCGCAACTATGTCGTACTTGTCTTGATTTCAAATAGGTTATCGCAATTATTATATCAATTTACAAGAGAAATTACTGTATTCAAATTATGTGGGTTTCGAATGATTATTCACACAATACAACTTGTTGACATAACCGTAAATTCGTTTGTCTTTTCTTTTTGAATAGAACATGAGCCGTATAGTCCGACAAACCAGTCAGTACATAATCCAAGCACACGGAGAAAAACCGAGTACAGGAAAAGTTATGATGACTCTGTCGACCGTCGTTTGAAACCTGAATATTCATCTAGCAATTCTATTTCCAGTCGATTCCGTGTATCTCCAGATTCAGTATGTGTAAATTTAGAGCATAGACGGAAATTATGCTTTCTTCATAATTTTGTTGCATATATCACTGTTTTTTAAAGTCCATGCATGATCATTCTGATATCGTATGTAGTCTTAAGTATCACAAACTTTTCTCTCCTGAGATATTTTTTGGAGTGAACGAAAATTCTCAATTTAAAAAGAAGCTAACAGACCTAACTGCTTACTCGAAGTCTCACTCTGTGAAAGTAGGTCTTATTCAATGCCGATCTATTTCAAAACCTATGTGGCTGAAAAATGAAAGTCCTACTGCAATCATTTTAAAGTATATCAGGCTTATTAAATTTATTTCCTAAAAGCAAGGACAAATTGTCCCCGCCAAAAATATGCAAGTTAGCTACAATGTGGTAAGCCCTAAAACAGAATACATGGAGTGAGTATTTAACATAGCTTTTGGGTTTAAATTATGTCGCAACTTAGATTTTCACTTAAACTTCAATCATTAATCAGGCCATCGACAAATGAATGTTTTTAAAAAGGTTTCAGTCATGAGGACAGTAAATGATATGGCGTCAATTTGATGGGTTGCAGTGTGTCACGATGGGTTCATAACTTCATCAAGGCCTTTGACAGTACCGATCACGCAGTAATTCGGCAATACTACATAGCGCCGAAAGCATTTATAGACCTTAATCAACAACTATCTGGCAATGCCACATGCTAAGTGATTCACAAAGAAAAGTTCACCGAAGCATTTGGAGTAAAGACAAGAGTCAGACAAGACCCTGATTGTGAATGATTTGATCATATGCGACGCCCTGAGGAAGTGGAAAGGCAGATATATATTGGACCGAAGGAAGGACTAGAAGATATGCACTTCGCCAGTTATTTACAATCTCATGTCGCACTAACCCAAACATTTACAAGCGAAAACCAACAAGAGGTATGCAGTGAGGACTTCATGAGAAGAGAGGTGGTGAAGATACCTAACCAACAACAAGAAGCATCATCAACGGTACATGATAAATGAATAATAAGTAAGATTTCCTTAACATTTGCATAGTAATGATTCAAGGCTTTAAATATTTGTTCTCATTTTGTCCTCTAGGTTTATACAAATCGAAAAAGCCGCAGAAGCTTAAGTAAAATTCCATCGTCTTGTGAATGGTCTAGAAATGAATCACACTCGCCTGAAGAACATTCTAGTAGGTCATCCTCGATGTTCTCACATAGTAACAACTCACTGTCATCAGCTTCTGAACGTTTAACTCCAGATCCTACAGCAACTTCACAGTATGGTCATTCACGCCTGCATACAGCTTATGAAACAGGTAGGACGTTTACCTAAGTAATGCAGAATGTCTTCATTCCTGTTAGCTGGTCAATATCTTTCTGATATCGCTTATTATGTGCTTTTTTCAGATATGAAAGCTGACTTCGCCTATGATCGTTTGACTCGCAAACGAGAAATCGAAGCTAGATTAAGAGAGATTGAATCGACTGAGAGAAAGTTACTTAACAAACAAAAGGTGCAAAATTATGAGAAAGAAGGGCGATTATCGACAAATTATGATGATTCTGACCACGGATATGATTACAAAAGGTTGGTACCGTTTTTAATAATAGGTGCAGACATAAATCTGTTCTTTCAAGTATTAAAACTGTTTTGTTAACGAACACGGGTACTTCACCGACTGAGTAGTTGAATTTTGCGACTCCTAGGAAATGCAACACCTTCTGCGGAAATAACTGAATGCACAAAAAGCTGAAAATGACAAGAATCGTTCGGTTTGAACTGCCTTGGCTTGAATATACACAAGATAATTTAAATTTACAGTTACAGGCAACATGACTTGAATCTCAGTCGGTTAGAGAGATTATCGAGAAAAAACCTGACACTACTTAGAATTCAGATTTTAAATATGTCCGTCTCAGGTAACCTGAAACGTTTTTAGCAAACGCTTCACAACTAAATATCTGTACAACGTCTTTATCGAAGGAATGGTGAGTAATCTTGAGGTACGAAAAGTGTATGCACAATTCAGTCTTCACATAGTGAGTTTAGATCGAAATTCGTCCCGTAAATTTGCGCTAATAAAAGCTGCAATTATTGCTTAGTAAGTTAGCTTACATTATGTGACCCTGATAGCTGAATATTTCAAATTCGAATCTCTGACTAAAGATACGCGTTGACTATTGGTGTTTAGAAGCATGGAATCGGGGTCAGGTGTAACTTTCTACCATCAGGTTTAGGTGTTTTATAATTAGTTACGGTGTGCATATCTGTATCGTATTACCTTACGCTAGAGTCTGTATTTCAAAATAAGCTGCAGATTACAACCTGCTATTCTGATACTGAAAAATCTATTGAAATGTCCAATTAGATGACAGTGCTTCAGGATATATCATCAGTGTATCCGGTGACAAGATATTTTGTTGAAACTGTTTAAAACCATATGATAATAGTTGTCTATCTACAAAGAAATTTGTATGTCACCATTTGTTTTTATTTGTACCTTCTAGGCTTCCAAAGAAATACATTAAGTAACGTCAAAGAATAACTGCAGAACTGATCATCAGTTGCAATTTACATGATCCGTCTTTCTTACCCTTGTTGCAGTAATACCATCAAATGTGATATTCAATACTTATGTACATTTCAACTTAATTTTGTATTATAAAAAGACTATTTTTTACATTAACTATTGTGATTACAAAAGCATAACGGCTTTGAATACAGATATAAAAATTCCATATTTGAACAGACACTTTATTTGCGAATGCTATACACTTAATATAGAAAAAGAACCTATAGTGGAATAACACAAGAAATTGATATTCGACGGACAAACATATCACAGTTAATAGTGTTTTATCTGCTTTCCCTCTGACACCACTTACTTTGTCAGATCGAATTCCTGTTTCTTCTCTGTGAAATTAACAAATAAGTTACTTTAGTGTGGTGAAACTTTAACAATACAAAACTTTCAAAAATAAATATAGAAATAAGTTATTGACCTGCTACTTCATGATTGGACACAAAATAAGTCATTTCATCTCAGCGTTAATGTATTAATGGTAATAAAAGCCTACGCCTTTTTAAAATGCAGAGTATTTGATGTCTCTCTGTTGACTCTTATGAATAAAGAGTCCCTAACCACCTAAAATGAACTCTTTTACTGATTGATCTGATACAGTTTTCTCATTGCATATAATATCTAGAAATGACACAACTAGGAGGATATGAAGTTTTTACCGCACATCACTTCTTGATGTACTAAATAAAGGTTCTATTTTCCAACGCGTTATTAGAAATTAATTTGCAAGGACATTTTGGGTGGATAGTGTGTCATCGAAAATACGTACACATCTTATTGTTCATGTCGTAATTTACTTTGCTGCCTAGATGCTTTTTCACTTTTAACCACATAAGTCAAACTCATATAGGGCATATAGTTGTGAAAAACACATTAGGTACCTATCTATACGTTGAAAAAATACTTTAGAACCTGTACCTCAAAAGTTCGTGACTGATACGGAAGTGATTATAAGTGACATGGTGAGCACTTACCTTTTAAGATCGAACAATATTTCTTGTGTGTGAACCAATGCAAGCGTTGACAGGAAACTGAACAGTAGGATGCAACTTTGCACTGTTGACATGCTTTTAGTTTTCCAGGCCTTCCTAGCTCAGGACCATCACCGCATGTTGCACAAAGTTCGAAAGGGCGTGCATTATACATAATAGAACCATTGATAGCTTTAGTAAGGATAGAGAATGCTGTTGGTAAGCCACCCAACACTAGCGGGGATATTTGTTGAACGACATGTCTCCATAGTGTGGACTGACGGTGAGGGAAAGAAGTTAAGGAGTGGCGTAAAAATTGTTCTTGACCTATTCAAAATTTTGTGAATTTAGAAGTCCTGATATACTCACCTTGTGGCAAACCGTATGGATCTGTTCCTAATAAAAATTTCTTTATTAGCTGCTTCAAATTTGGAGACACATTGTCTTGATTATCTACACATTTCAGCTCTTTATCGTAATGCTCTCCAGCTTGACGTATACAACAGGCCAGTAAATGAAGTTTGAGTGCCAGTGGTTCGTGTGTTAAGTGGGGCGTGAAATACTTATTGCACAAATCTTCAAGGATGTTGTGAACACATTTCCACTGCGCTAGCATATGCCTATTAGGGTTATTAGCTGCTGCTTGTTGGCAAGTTTCTATTTCATTATTTAACACAATGAAAACCTGTAATATAAGAGTGAAATACGACGCACAAAATGATATCATCTGCAACTATAACTTCACTTTACTTAGTGTCCCCACATTCGACTTCCATGTGACGTACCTTTATAGGTGAAATGTTAAGCTGCAAAATCAGCCGGTGGACTGTAGATATGTATTCAGACGGTAGTTTATTCTTTGTTGTATAGACGCTAATTTCTTCCTTTTCTAAATAATTATTGATAAGACTGACGACGTTATGATTTCCTAATATGTAAGCCTTGGTAAAGGTGAAGACCTACCCACAAATGCGGCCATTTGAGAAGCTGTCCTCCCGATCGAATTCACGTCATTTACTCGAGCTCCGTATTGCAAAAGAAGTTCAACAATATCTGTGTTTCCTACGACGGTGTAAAAACGAAGTACCTAACCTGAAAGACCGGCAAACATAAGGGCTGTGTAACCCTGTTTATGAGACGTTGAATTAACATTTGCGCCACACTTTAGAAGGAACTCAACAATTGGCAGAACTCCTCGAAAGCATGCTAACTGGAGTGGAGATAAACCCTCCTAATGAATTAGTCAAAAAAAATATATATTCATTTACTTCGTCTTGGGAGTTAATCAGAGATTTATCCGCTGAGAGGAGAAATTTGACTTTTTCTATATTCGCTGCAACAAATGATAGTGACTGCTACTTAACCCACATGTAGATATTGCATTTCGTAATGCATCTGCACCTTCCGAATCCTCAAAAATATCTGTTACTTATAGCTACGCTTACCATGATCCGTTAGTATTTACAGTCTGAAATTAAAAGATAGATTAAAAGTCTAGAATACAGAGACATCAGATTTATTAGAAATGTCAGACTAGTCCTGAAAAGTCTGTATGGTGAGTGCGTACGGTCGTCGATGGATTTCGGCGCACTGACAACGGTCTGCGAAATCTGGTGGTACCACCGGCCTCCTGAGCACAGGCTGCTCAGCCTCGTTCATGGAAAGTATGTTTTGTGGTGACTGAGTTCCAACCAGCAACCGAAGCGCGCGATAAGTTCCGGACATAGTGAAGTGATTGTTTTAAGCACATTCATTACAGTTGTCTGTAATATGATTCACTTCTCATGTGTCAGAGTTTTAGTCAACTCTTATCGGTGACGAGTATTTTTAGGATGTGGGGTTATTCAGAGAGAAATTGCTATTTACGGGCTGCAAAATTTTAGCTCCAAACTAGTGGCATTCATAAACACTGACCCCAGTGGCTACCTACAAAACTATTTGATCACACAAAAATGGATACAATTCTTCATATAACACTGCAACATATGGGAGGCATCAATTTACAGGATGGTGCAATGCGTACCTGTTTTCAACCAATTATGCTTTCAGATTCCAGCCTTTTTGTAACATTCATATTGTCAGAACAACTGATTTTAAGCTGGGAGTTAAATATTTTTGGTCTCTGAAATAAGAACATCAAGTGATTTGAAATTGAACACAAAAGCGGTGACACATTTCCAGACTTCACTACAAGTCGGCGAACAAATTACATACGACCAGTCCACCCTATGAGTTTTTATATACACTTTGAGATGTACTATGTTCAGTTTCATTTTGTGTGCTGTTTTGTGCGTTCGTGGAAGAACAAAACACAAAAAATAATTGCAGTTATATTAATTGTAGTGAGTCGCTTTCAAGGCGTTTTAACTTTACGTAAAGTACTATCAGCAACCACCTTTATTAGGGTTCTTAAGTGAAGACGGAGAATAAGACATGTTATGATCATATGGGGTCATTTTACGTGTAAGCAATTTCATGTTTCATTAGTGTAGCCTAATATTTCACTGACATCAATGAACTAAACACAACATATTTGTAAAATAAAACTAATAATACCGTTATACGATTGAAAAATATACGGGATTTATGTTACAAATGACCGACCTTGAAGATAGGAATAGACCGCTACAAATGGCAATTAATTCACTTTTACAACTTCGTGGAGTTTGTGTGATTGTGTACAGCTGTGATAGCAGGAAATTGTGATGTGCAGGAATTACCCCATTACCTTCTTGCCTAGCTGAAAGCTATGGAATTTTGAAGCTTGTAAGTTGCTTAGTACATTGTATTCCTAATAAGCGCGGGATAATCAGAATTTTTGAGGTCTGGAGGAGTTACTCACGTTTTCACTTGTGAACCTGAGTAAAACTTCGTCTGAACTTGATGTCTGCAGTCACTGAGATATCAGCAGGTGATTCCGTTATCGAATGCGAAGTGGGAATACTCGAACAATATGATTGTAAGGTTTTCTACTAGATATTAAAAACAGAAACACTGCACATAAATTTTGCGTAATATAGGATATTTCAGAGTACTATCCAACATACAGTCTGCTGCTCAAAGCTACGTCTTTTCGCTGGTCCATAATGTCTAACTGCTTCATTACTAACCGTGTTTTTATCCCTTGAATTTTGAGGGAACCTCTCGTTCGAAGACTACTGCACAACCGCTGCTCAGCTTCACCAACATTGAACGGTTCTGTGGATTATACTAGTATTTTGTGGCAGCGCACCTAAACTGAATCACCGAGTGACCAATAGTTTCTATAACTCTTTAAGTGTCTTTTTTATAAGATACCGTCGCAATATTATCTCGTTATTTTGGATTTTTATTCTGATGTTTGTTCCACTATCAAGTTTGCTATTAAATCTCCTGCATATATCGGTCCACTTTACTTCCATATCAGGGCCTTAAATCATTGCATGGTATTGTCAATGCGTGCAGCTGTGGGACCCTTACAACTGCAGCTAATCGTAACCACAACTTAGTCTTACTTAATACAGACGATATGTGTTTACGGATTTCTTTCTCCTGACTGCCGGGCTATTATTATAGTTGAGATCCAACCACGTTATATGCTGTGGTTGACATTAGCTATTAAAAGACAAGTATTCCTATTCATTAATTATATCAGATATTTCTCAGACTATTACCAATTATTCAGCAGTAAGTGATATGGGATATAACCGGAACTACCAGAATATTTGAATAGCTCACAAACGTGTCAGATATCGTCGGATGGTCACAGCAGTGGTATCCTTCTCCACAATTCAGTCGCCCAACATGAAAACATAACAAACCCTGAAAAATGTAAAATGATGTTTAAAGTGTGTATCACTCAATTATTTCCGGGAAAAGTGAGGTCAGATTCGGTGTACTTTCAGTCGGGGCTAGAGAAAAAATCTAGCTGGTTGTTCCTGAATCATTAGCTGGATATTCATCAAACTACATGAGGTGGCTGGCTCATACATATTTATCTAATGTCCAGATTCAGAGTGTCTAATAACCTGTTAGAGGTAGCTAGCAGCTACGCTATCTACGTATTTTCCTCACTTCTGACTGGTAGGTTCCACTAAGCGACGCCGCTGTGGGTTTCATTCAACATGGAACGCCTTGGTCACTCAGAAGCCGTTAGTGGTTAAAGAATTCAGAAGGATGGAGTGAGTGAATATGTAGGAACTATATCTTCTTAATGATAATAAAAGTTTTATTCCAAGCAGTACCTTTGACGGAAATATCAAATTTTCAGTATGTTGTACAGTATTGCATCTAGTTTTCCCAGTAATGGAATGACAATTTGTGAGGTTCTCTTTATCTATTACACGATAATAAATCGCAAATGTCTTCCCTTTTGCCTGTAAGGACTTTTCCACTTCACCTGTCTGCCGTCAATCCTTCAGACATAAACATTCAAGCCTATGGGCTTAATATAATTATAATAATATTATTTTATTTATGGAATGGAAACCAGCCATTTTTACAGGCATGAACATATTATTAGAACTTATAGAATATATAATATGATTTGTTAATCTAGAAATAAACTGAATACAGGTAAGTGTGAGAGAAACATTTAAAAAGAAATGTACAAATAAGGAAATAGATAATTCTTGAGATCTGCTTTCGACCGAATAAGTCATAAGATATAGCGTCAAATCTAAACTGCAAGTGAAAAAAATACGGTATATCAGTTTCACTCGGGTATTAAAAGTATTACGTTAAATGTGAAAGGTAAACAGCATTTTTGTACAGGTGCTGACGTGAAACATAAGAGATGAAGAATGAATAATAATTATAAGTGAATGATTCATAAAGTGTTTGAAAGTCTATCAAACTTCAAATTCACCGGTAGGTACACCATATTCGTGACATTTCCAGTTGTATGTCAGACCGACTTTGAAATTGTCAACAGATTTCACGACAGAGGTGGTTACGTTATACATCAGGTGAGCTAGCAATACTTCGAATAAGTAGAGGATAGCAGCACCGTATCAGCGCCTTCGTTGAAGGCATTACCTTTGGAAAGAGAAGAAGACACAAGCCTCCTGCCTATATAATATTTGTTGTCATTCGATCATTTGGGGACAGAATATTTGGTTACTAAATTGGTGAGCCTGATTCGATTTCAATACGCCTTCAGTTTTCCTATAGTTAACTACAGTTCATTTATTTTTGTTTTTAATTTGTTTTCTATGAACTTTCACTTCATACTTACTTTTCGTTTCTAGTATTATATCTCATTCATCAACCGTGGAACCTCGTGTTAGGAACCCCATTTCTGAGTAGGTAGGTTCTTTAGTAACCACCGAAGTTACCATACTAGAATTTTATCGCAATAGTCTTGAACTATGTATTACTCAAATGGAATAATCCTTTGACCAGTACAGCATTACGTCTACAAACATCACTTGGAGTGACGTGTATTCTCAGTTACATTATGAGGTTGGCAAGAAGGTGCGGGAACTCATTCCTCACAGTAGCCCGAGTAGCCGCATACAGTACTTGGGCGCAAACTGGTAAAATGCCCCTCTATGTCTAAAAACAAGTGCAAATATCTGCCGCGTTTTAGGAAGTACCTCCGGGTTAGATCTTCAGCACAGTTCTTGAGCTAATTTCATCGGCCTACAGAAGACGTCACCGTAAGGCAGGTTTACTAGGGCAACGCTGAATGAGAGCGTAATCATAGTAAAACAAACTCTTGGCAGTCAACGTCCAACTACTCACTTGAGTGGCGAGCAAGTACTCCAGATCAAATACTAGGGAGCAGGCGATTCACATAAGCGAAGGCGATACATAGGAGCATGGGAAACAAACCAATAAATTCATTTTTGGTAACCGTATTTGAGAGAGATATTACTGCCACGGCTTTTGTTGTTGTCATTGCCTTTCCTGTTTTGATATTTTTTGTTGTTGTTCTAATCACTCTATTTCATGTTTTACCGATTATAAAGGGTTAACACAAAATATGGCACCTCTGTAGCTAATATATTTATGCCACACCCCCCTATCAAGGTGTCAGCAAACACTCCGAAGCTGTAAATGTCCAGCTCTTACTACGCTGGACCTCACGCCGTCCCTCGAACACCTTCAGAAACACTTTGTATTATCCAACGCAAATACCAAAACACTGACTGCCGACTCAAGAATCCTTTATTCCTACGCCAACATGTTACCAACAATAAGGTTATTACACACAAGGTCTAAGAATAAATGTTACAAAAATAAATCACGATAATACTTCTGATAGTTTTCGGTCTTCCACTGAGCAGTGAACGATGAGACAATGACTGATGGATTGATGACCCGCGAAAAATACGGAGGAGTTGGGTTTGAGCAAACAACCATGAGTTGATCGTTCAATCTTCAACCACATTGACATAATGGGTGTTTGCTCAAACCTAACTCCTCCGTATTTTTCGCGGGTCATCAATCCATCAGTCATTGTCTCATCGTTCACTGCTCAGTGGAAGACCGAAAACTATCAGAAGTATTATCGTGATTTATTTTTGTAACATTTATTCTTAGACCTTGTGTGTAATAACCTTATTGTTGGTAACATGTTGGCGTAGGAATAAAGGATTCTTGAGTCGGCAGTCAGTGTTTTGGTATTTGCGTTGGATAATACAAAGTGTTTCTGAAGGTGTTCGAGGGACGGCGTGAGGTCCAGCGTAGTAAGAGCTGGACATTTACAGTTACTGAGAGTTTGTTGACACATGAATTGGTCGTTAAATCTCAACTACATTGACACCAGGCGTGATGCTTATAACGCCAATAGGTAAAGAAACCTGCTACAGAAACCTCTGTACAATGAGTCACTTTGCGATCAAAAAAGGTTGTGTGTTTATATGGAATGTTCGCACTGTGTTTGGGAATGGAAAAGATGAACAGATTGCAAATGATGCGAAAATATGTTGATATTTAACTACTGGGTGAATGCGAAGGCAGATGGAATGGAAGCGGTTTCACAAAATTTTCAACGTCGGAGTCAATGATCTACTGAACTCACGCAGATGACAACCACGAGCACACCGGGGATGTGGCTATCATGATATTACCAACGCCAAAGTAGGCCCCAACACAATGGGGGGCGATCTCGCCTGGGATAATGATCGCCGGATTTAACTCAAAGGAAGAGAGAGTGACAGTTATACAGTGCTATGCACCCACAAACAACGCAGACCTCGAAAAGAAAGAAGAGTTCTACAGACAACTACAAGCAATAGTGGACAATTCTCCAGTCGACGACATTAAAATCTTAATAGAAGACACGAACGCAAAACTGGGACTAGAAGACACGGAAAGTGAACTAATCATGGGCAGAGAAGCTGTCAGAGGAATGAATTAAAATGGAAAATTCTTCGCCAACTTCTGTGCCTTTAATGAACTAGTGATTGGAGGCTGTGTATACAAGCACAAGGATATCCACAAAGCCACATGTGTGTGGCCAGACGAGTGAACCGAAAACCAAATTGACTTCATGTCATTTCTGCTCAAGGAAGCGGAGACGCAATTTACTGGACACAAAAGTAAGAAGGGCAGCAGACGTTGTTTCAAACCACTATCTCGTATAAGGAAAAATCCAAATCAAATTAAAAAACTTTCAAGGAAACAGGAGCTGCGGACAGATCGCAATCCAAGTTCTGCACTTAAAAATTGAAGGATCAGACCACAAAGAACATCTTCATTGCAATCGTGAGGATTAAGGTGGAGATACAAATCAACACTAGCGAAGAGATCAGCGTTGGAAAGCACTGAAACAGCCTCAAAGAGGCGTAAGGTCAGACCTGAATGGAAGTCCTTGGCAGAAAGAAGAGACAGGACAAACGGTTGCTCACTACGGACACATGGAAGGGAACAGGATGGTGAGACATAAGATTACCCAGTGGATTGAAGGGCGGCGAAGACGGGAGTTGAATGCAAGCTACAATGCACTGAGCAGTAGAGCAAAGAAGAGCGCTAGGGAACACAAAAGACAATATTACGAAGATATGGCAAGTGAAGTAGAATAAGCTGCAGGCAAAAGAGATCTCGTAACACTCTACCGAACAAATGGGTTCTTATCAGGGAAAAGATCAACTCAAATTAAGCCAGTGAAGGATGAGAAGTGGAAGTCAATCACCAAAGAGATGGAGTAAGGAAACACTGAGCTGGACGCATTAAAAGACCACCACCTACAACGCTCACAATAATACCAACAATGGAAGCAGAACTACCAGTAGACATCAATCATCCTACGAGAGCAAAAGTCCTGGAGGCCAAGGCCAATTGCCGGAAAAGCAGAAGGACCAGACGAAATCCCTGCACAAGCATTGGAAATGGGACCAGAGACAGCAGCTGACTTGATGACACCACTACTGGGGGAGGTGTGGAAAGAAAGCTAGATACCGGCGGACTGGAAAAAGACTAGTTATTAAAACTGCCAAAGGAAGAAGACTTAAGCAAAAGCAATAACTGGTGCAGCATTGTGCTCTTGGCCATCCCAAGAAATATACTAAGCCTCATCATCCTGCAGCCAATCAAACACGCCGGATTGGATGAAAAACTTCGGATGCAACAGGCTGGATTCATGGGAAACAAGTTATGCACCGATCAAATCACAACACTACGGACCATCACTAAACAAAGTTGGGAATGGCAGTCAGCTCCCCATCTCAACTTCATCAACCTTGAAAAAGTATTCAACAGCTTCGATCGAGAGGTGATTTGGCGACTACTTCGCTACTACGGGGTGCCGACAACTATACATCCTATCCAATAGTTTTACGATAATGCCGCACGTCGAGTAATCCACGGCGGGAAACTCACGGAACCCTTCGAAGTGAAGACGGGAGTAAGACCAGGCTGCCTACTATATCCAATGATTTACTTGATTGCGGCAGACTGGTGGCACAGTGGTTAGGACTCTCGCCGACCATGCACATGGTCCGGGGTTCGAGCCCGCACCGGCGCACACCTGATATCTATGGTCGGCCTGAAAAATATGGGCTACCGATATCCATGCTGAAAATTCCATACTTGTACCAAAAATACAGTGTGGAATCAAGCTTTAAATCAAAAAAAGTAAATAGACTGGATAATGCGACAGACAGTGAGCAATGAAGAAACAGGCATAGAATGAGCCCATACACAACACTTGAAGGATCTAAACTTCGCCGATGACACACGTCCGATTCCTCACGAAACGAAAGATATGGGAGTGAAAAGCAGCAGGTTGGCAGAAGAAGCATCAAAGATAAGTTTTCAGGTGAACATGGAGAAAACAGAAGTGATGAAGATTCCTGGCCAATAGCAACAGGCAACATTCAGCATGAGTGGAAGAAATCTGAAGGAAACAACCTACCTGGGAAGCATCGTTTCAACTACAGGCGAACTGACGAGGATATCCAAGGAAGGATCGGGAAAGCAAGGGAAGCTTTCATTACCGTAAAGTCTGTGTGGAGATCAACAGCACTCAGCACGGAAAAAAGATTCAGATTTTCAACTTCTATGTGAAGTCAGTGCTACTATACGGGTCAGATGCTTGGAGCGTCAAGAAAGACACTTCGAACAAACTACAGACCTTCATCAACAGCTGTCTTCTCTCAATAATTACGACCAGTTGGCCGGAAAATATCAGGGATAGCGATCTCTGAAAGCGAACCAAACAGGAACCAATCGTGCAACAAATATGCAGGAAGAAATGGAAGTGGATTTACCGTACTCTGAGGAAACCATCAAGTGACATCCATCATACACCGGGCCATGGCTCAATTGGAATCGGAGTGGGAGGCGGCGAGTTGCTCGTCCAAGGGTGATATAGAGCAGGTCATGTGAAGAGGAGCTGAAAGCATGTGGACAGGCGTGGAGCCTGGGGAAAAAGTTGGTGGAGAACCAAACGCAATAGGGACGTGCGCCTGAGGCCCTGTGTTCCCCTAGGAATTAAAGGAAATGATGATAATACTTGCCCTCTAGCAATTTGATGAGGGCGCTAGAAAGAGAGGCGAGAAAACTACCAAATGTACGTTAGTTTGTAGCATCCTATATTGCATGCTTATCAGAAAATACGCTAATGCTAGGCCCAAAAAGCAGCATTGAAGAAAATAAATGGTTCCTATAAAAGTGCAGACAGATTTTAAAACTTGGACAGTAAAAATCACACAACACATTGGTAAATGGAAGAATAGTCTATTCAGCGGAATGATAAACACTGAAGCAAAAATATAAAATTGTTACTATAAACCTTGGTTTACAGAAGTTATTCTTATTTAGCCTCTTTTCACCTTGTCATGCTATGTTGTTTTGAGTGGTCCTCATTTCTGCTCTTTCCAAAATGATCTGCCACTCTACTATACAAGATTCTCGTACAAAACGTTGGTAATATACTACCTGAACATTCCCGTCGGAGACGCGCATCGCACTCGTATCCCCCTACAAGGTTTCGAAAGTAGTCACCGCGGATTTCCCGGGATAGCCTGCTTTTATTGTGTTTGGGCACCAGCTTCTTTGTCCTACATTGTTGGTCTTTGAATTGGCCGGAGTTCACAAGTTTTTGTTCCTTTGACGATCTGTGCAGTCGGACGACCTTTGGCGAGCGTATGTGCTGTTTTCCACCTTGGAAGAAGTTTCCGTGGACCTCGCTAGCTTTCGCTCTCTACAACTTGGTTGGTCTCCAACCTTAAGCACTATGCATTCCTTACTTTCTCCGCTCGAATTTCACAACACCGGCTTCCTATTTGTGTTGTCCAATTCTGATCACGGTTTTACGTTCTGTCTACCTTTTCTTTATATCTCCCCGTGGTTGGTAATGCTGTTTTACCGTACACTGGCATCCAGGGGCTCCTAATATTCATCGAATGAAAAACTAACTTCTTCGCTGTGTCCTGAACGAAACCAGAATTTGTTATTAGAATCAGCGGAATAACTATCCCACCACAGCCTTTTCTGAGTCCAACCACACCTGCTTGGTGGCATTCATGTATGGTCATTGTCAGACAGCCTCCAAAATTCCGCTACCTTATCGATATTCCGCAGGTGTTGAACCTTTGAACATGGTAATCTCCCCATTTCCCGAATGTTGATCTACATCCGTCCTGTTAACAAACACCTGTATGGCTCCAATCACAATAGGGTGTGATTTTTAGCAGTTACCAGGTCATAACGGGTCTTGTTCTGATAGATGCACTGCGCTTCATCTTCTCACGTAGACTAAAGTCTTCAAACAAGTTTTATTTCCTTGAAGATAGTTAAGTGTTCCTGCCACAGTTGAAGTGGTACGTAATCTCATACATATTGTGCCATCTGGCTCTAGGAAGTGAACACAAAATCCATACACTCCATTAGGCTTTTTCACTAGAGCACATGGGTTGTCAGTCTCTTCAATAATTTTATCGCTTAAAACATCCTTAACTAGTCCCTCAATCTCTCTTTCTAGGTTGCATAATTCTGCGCGCTATAAACGCTATAAACACCTCACATCTCCAGGTTATTACAACTAGTATTTCTGAACATTCCTACGTACGGTGCAGAGGTTCATAATGTCTTGCAGGCGAAAAATTCGTACTTTGAAAGTAAACTATTTTTCTTTGCATTGAATATTGCACCTATTTATTGGATAAATTAACCTCAAAGTTTGAGGCACGACAATGTTTAAGAAGGTTAATTTGTTACGCCCAGTGTAAAGCATACAGTCTTGCACACCCGAGGATTTCAGCTCATATCCACCCGTTGACTGTGCTGCCAATGCAGATATCCCAACAATCTGGCGTAAGTGCCTGATGGAACCGTCGTTCTGAATATCTATAGGATACATAAATCCTCGAGCATTTACTACAAATTACAAACAGATTTCACCCCTTGCAATCACCGTTACTAATTGTAATGTGACTGGAGGGAAGTGACACACATTAGACCGCCTTAAATACTTTTTCGCACTTCCTTGAGCCACTTTCGCCAGTGTTCAGGCATCTCCCGACAAATTATCGATCTCAGCTGACGTCTTCTTGTAACACCACCACCTGTTCATTAAAACCTTGAATTCGTTGCTCGCATCAGTTCATTTTTGGTGCCTCTGTAACGGTCATTAACAGCTACGTCTCCTAAACCATTAATGCCCAGCTCTTGCTACGCTGGGCCTCACGCTATTTCTCGAAGCTTCTCAGAAACGCTTTGTGCAAACCGACGCAAAACCCAGAACCCAGTTTGGCGACTCGAGAATTATTTATTCTAACACCAACATATAGCCAACTTTACAACTAAGGTCTATGAACAAATAATAAATAAAAAAAATAAATCACAATATTACTTCTGACGGTTTTGCACGTGCTTTTCGAACAGCGACCGATGAGACGATGACTGGTGTATTGATGCCTTCGCAAAAAATTGGGGAAGTTGGGTTTGAGCAAACAACCATGAATTGATCGTTCAATCTTCAACTCCATTGACACTCCCCGGCAAAATACGGATTCATCCCTCCTTTCCATCACGACCAATACACGTTGACTTGGATGCCATTGCGAGAACCTGGGTCACACGGACAGAGCTGAAATGGAAAACAAACAGAAAATCCAACACACCACAGGCATACCCACAGCACCATCTCACACATCAATGACGACCTGCGCCTTCCAGTTAAAGGTATCCTCTTGACATCTTGTAACACAATCGCCACTTGTTAGAATGACTCTTGCAGAATGCAACGTGATCATAGCACCACCTCATGATACTCCACGCACATCCTCTTATCTACTCACTGCCAATTACCACTGCGATCGCTTGTCACTCATTCTGTATTAGTTCTAGTAACGGTGACGTATGCGAGCCTCAGTCGTCTACAGTCTCGCTCCCCGCGTGTGGGACCACAGCCTAAAAAGAAACATTCACTCTCAGTCGTTGATTCCACAGCTAAACACTATCTCCGTGTGCATGTCATTCTCAGCAATAGCCTACCCAGCGTATACGACCCATCTACTGCATTTAACATCAATCAATTCATTCACGGATGTAGAAGACTAGAAACAACTTCAGAAGTCAGCACGACGAAAATTTTAACAAAATTACGCAATAACAACAAGGTACGAAAACAACGAGTAAACACAATGAATCCAAAACACCACCAATTGATACGACACATCACATATATACACGGAGTGCACCCAAACTCAGAGATCGTGTCTCGATAGAATTCCTCTGAAGAATCACAGGACTTACACCAGTAGGCCTACATTCCTTCTCAGGTTGGTGATCCAAGTGGAAGTCGTCCGGACACAAACAGAATTACCAACAGCTAGATGACAGATGATATCAATTCAGTATATACAATATGAACATATGTACAAAATCACACACCAAGCACATTGGACTGCTCATTGATGCGCTACCCTTTGGAGAATTGTATGACTTACAACAGTACGCCTACAACCCTTCTCAGGTTGGCGCCCTAGGTTGGAAAATCGTTCCAGAGTTCATTTGCTGACTTCCTTCTATCATCTATATCCTCAAATCTGAACGGTAAGACTCTCATTTCATTGTACCACAGAATATAGATGACTAACAAACACACGACATATCTAGCCATCCAAGCGTAGAAACAGAGTAATTTACACGAAAGATAATAGTATTCAAATAGTAACTTGGAGCTTGAAAAACCTTTATTCATGCGAGTCAATTTAACAACTACCCTCTCATTTACACTTGGTTTATCCTCACTAAACTGACCAATATCTTTCGTCTTTTCAAATGCACCAATACTATCATAGCCATTGCACAAGGCCCTTGAGTTCGTGGGCGTCGTTTTCATTGTGGATGACAGCACCAACGACGACTGATTGATATCAGCTGATGAAGTTAGCGGTGGATCAAAAGCTGTTGTTGCTCGGCTTTCAGAAGTTTGTCTAACTGCAAGACTACCACCACTGCTGTCTTTCACTACTAGTTCGGGTTTAGCACTATCATCTGATGATAGGTGGGCTACACGCTGACCACTTGCACTGATGGTCTCACAAGTATCCATAACTTCTGCAACTGCATCTGCATTCAATTCTACATCGTGTTCAATTTGTACAGAACCTTTGCTCAACTCACTAGTAGTAGACACTCTCCTCATCTCATCATGATCAACCAAAGACAAATCTCAACCATCATGATCATTGCCACAAATATTCACTTTACCGTCGTCTATCTGGTCGACTTCATCATTTTCAAACTGTTTGTTGGCAGCAGCAGACAACTTGAGTTCTTCCTCACAAATCCTCAGAGATTTTATTCCTTCACTCTGACTAGCAATACCTTGTAAACTTGTGGAGTCACAACTGGACTCTGAAATTGTAGCTCTGTTCTGTGACACTCTATTCGACAATATCTTACCAGTTGCAACTACAGGCTTCTTCACCACACCGTTATCGTCACACAATTTGGAGTCAGGCCTTGATTTCACATTTAGCTTATCACTAAATTTGCTCACTGATTTACAGTTCACCATTTTGTGAACTTCTTGCAAACTTGTAAAAGACAACCGTGTTTGCCTTGCATCTTGTAACTTATCTGTTAAGGATGTACCACGAAACTTGTTACACTCACTAAGTCTATATGCATTACTAGACACCATAGAGCCTTCTCGATATCCACCTCTCTGAGACCTTTTCATCATCAATAAATGCGTTTCGTTCTCAGACTGCTCTATTTTAGTGGTAGGGTGCAATATACTGGCAAATTTACTCATAGATTGATTGATACTATCGTTCACCAGTTTCAGAATATCATCGATCTTTGGCTCGATGCCTTTATCCTCTATACGGGAGCTTATCTTCACCCGCTTTTTTTCAGTCGAGTAGGTGGGCGTCTCACTATTACTTCTAGTATAAAACTTGAGTTGGGGTTACTCATGCAATTCATCGAAATCAATGCATTCTTGTAAGTTAACAGATTATCCAAAAACTCAGAGAGTGCCTTGGAGTCATCTTGAAGCTGACTGCCGTTACCTTTGACAGCTTCGTATACGTTCCTTACAATCACTGAAGGTCTTCCAAACCTTTGACATAATATGCTCATAGCCTCAGCGTATCCCTCATTAGGAGGCATGAACTTACAGCACTGTATAGCTCTTGAAGCAACTCCAGAGCACTACCTCATCAAATACATCAACTTCATTTCATCGTTTAATAAAAAACTACTTAACATGATTTCAAACTCTCTTACAAACTGTAAATAGTCAACTGGGTTTCCGTCGAAACACCGAGGTTCATACTTAGGGAGTTTGATAATCCTACTATCCCGAGACGGCGAAACAGTAACATCAACCATGTCATGCTTAACATCAGACACATCGCTACAATTAACAGACAAGTCACCATGACTCACTTTCGTGTTTGCATCCAAGACACTCTGTACCTTCTTTGACCCAGGCATTGTTGAACTATACCCAATTCTAAAAAAGTTCCAGATATTGCTTGTTCAAAGAAGACTTGGCCGGCACCAGTAAAGATGAACGTTGACTATCCAAATTGTCAGCTACTGTCAGATATCGACAGAAACTGACGCCGTACCGTCAGAATCTGTCAGCCACGTCTCATAAACCGTTAATGCCCAGCTCTTGCTACGCTGGGCCTCACGCTGTTTCTCGAAGCTTCTCAGAAACGCTTAGTGCAAACCGACGCAAAAACCAGAACACAGATTGGCGACTCGAGAATTCTTTATTCTAACACCAACATATAGCCAACTTTACAACTAAGGTATATGAACAAATAATAAATAACAATAATAAATCACGGGCGTTGATATGGGGCAGCCTGTAGACGGCCGTAATTTTGAGTGACCGCGAATGAGATAAACAAGCGATTTGCTCGCTCGTGATTGGCCAGTTTGTCATTCTAGTTGAGGTAATTTCAAACATCATTTTGCTGCTTGGTTAAGTACTGAATTTCCGGGATCGTTTTATCAAATTTGAGAGATAACTGACAACACAAACTATTACAGCTCAGGAGGGAAATGAAATACCGGTGGATTTATTTGCTGAATTCAACGAATTCATGCCAAATTAAGATCTAAGGACTTCTTAGGGGTGTGAAGAA